ATAGCACAGCAGCTGGTGGAGCTGGCTCCTGTCCCTCTGCCCAGCCTTCAGCAGAGAGGATTTGTCAGATGTTGAGCAAGTGGTTGCACTGGTGCTGATTGTGAAGGGAAGGTGAGACTTGCATGTCTGAAGGCATCAGGAAAATGTACTGGCAGATGTGAATTAGGGCTGTCAGATGAAGAATACAGGGAAGAGCAGATTGGCATATAGGCACATGAGGCCAGCACTTCAGCTAATGGAATTCAGTCTCTTTCTCACATACCTTTATCTAAAGAGTTCCTTCTCAGTCATTAGGAGGCAGGCAGTTGGGGGATATGGCATTCTAGCTATTAGACTAGAGGGAAAGTTCCAGCATTGAGCACATTCTTAACGGTTGTGAAGAAGAAACTGGAATCTACATCTCTCAATCCTTCCAGGATACTGGGCCCTGATAAAATAAGTGTGTAATTCCACAGCTAAATGGAATGAACCTGAAATTTCTGAGAAGATGGTGTTTGGAACTGTGGAGTGGTTGGCTCTGGGAGGTAAACAGGTGGTGTAGATGTGCAGACAGGGACTGGGAGAGTCTCTCTGGGAGGGAAATAGAATTCAGGTCCCTTTTGAGATCTTCCAGGATCAGCCCTTTCATACCAGACCTTTTGGCTTGAGACTATAGGACTGAAGAGATTAGATCTGGGACCCAAAGTTTTTGCTAGGATAGAGAACTGGGATGTGAGGCGGAAGATAACAGGTAGAGCAGTTGGTTTAAGCCAGTTCATGACTAAAGCTTCGGGGTGTCAAGGGTTGAAACCAGAGGCAGGAAGGCCGGGGAGTCATGTAGTTTGGGAATGTTTCAAATTCTTCAGTAATAGGGTCTGGCAAAGTATCAAAGTGTGAAAGTTTGATATGCCCATACTTTTTTTTTTTTTCAGTACTGGGGTTTGAACTCAGGACCTACATCTTGAGCCACTCCACCAGCCCTTTTTTGTGATGGGTTTTTTCGAGATAGGGTCTTGTAGCACTATTTGCCCAGGCTGGCTTTGAACCCAGATCCTCATGATCTCTGTCTCCTAAGTAGGTAGGATTACAGTCATGAGCCACCCGTGCCCAGCTAGGACTATGCCTTTGTCTTGTTGGTTATGTGTCCTGGCTCCTTCTAGGAGTCTGGCAGAGAACATGTTGCCAAGTGATTGAGGAATTCAGGGCAAACAGATAGTCTCAGTTCTCTTTACTGGGTGTGCTTAGCTATTGATGGTTGAAGCTATTCAAAATTGTGGGCCAGGTCACTTTATTTTATTTTTAAGAAACTCTTTTTGGAAATAGTTTTAACCTTAGAACAAATTCATAGGAATAAAAATGGCGTAAGAACATTGATACTCCCTTTATTCAGATATATCTGTTATTAACATTTTGCTACATACACACACACACACACACACACATTTTGTTGTTGTTGTTGTTATTGTTCTGAACTATTTGAGGGTATCTATTATGGGCCCTCTACCTCTTTTTTTTGTTTTTTTTTTGTGGTACTGGGGCTTGAACTCAGGGCTGCTCACTTGCTAGGCAGGTGCTGTACCACTTGAACTGCTTCACCAACCCATGGTCCTCTACCTCTAAATTCTTCAGCATATATTCCCTAAGAATTATGGTATTCTCTTACATAACTCTCAGTTAACACTGATATATTTATTGTCTATATTCCAATTTTACCACAATAGTGTCTTTTTTAAAAAAAGCTTTATTGGGGTATAATTGGCACAGAGTAAACTGTAGATAATTAAAGGGTACAATTTCAATTCTGATATGCATGCACTGGTGAAACTATCACCACAGTCAAGATAATAAATATCTACTCTCCCAGAAGTTTCCTGATGCCCTGTTTGTAATACCTCCATTTCACCCTCAGTCCAAAATTAAGAATGAACCAAGCCTTGTATGACATATGAATAATAAAAGAAAAATGAAAAAAAAAAAAGAATTTTTATTCTGCAGTAGACATTAAGAGATGAGAACCAGTTTTTAAATTTTGGTAGCTTTGATGAGTGAGAATTGTTATCTCAGGATATTTTTAATTTTCATTTTTCTTATGAGTGAAATTGAACATTTTTTGATATGTCCGTGGACCATTTTATGTGTATTTTCTTTTCTTTCTTACTCTCTCTTTTTTTTGGGTTGGACTTGGGGCTTTGCACTTGCTAGGCAGTACTCTACCACTTGAGCCATGCCTCTAGCCCCTAAGTGTATTTTCTTATGAGTTACCTTTGTCTTTGCTTCATTTTTTGTAAAATATATGATCTTTTCTTCCTCTGCCTTTTAAGTTCTTTGTTAAGGTTATTGTCTTTTTACTTATGATCTAGGTTGCAGAAAATTTCTCCCAGAAGCTTGGCATGGTGTTGTCCACCTGTAATCTCAGCACTAGGGAAGCTGAGGCAGGAGGATTGAGAGTTCAAGGCTAGCCTTCTGTAGAGGCCAGCCTGGGCTACATAGGGAGATTCTGCCTCCAAAAAAAAAAAAAAAATTCCAGTTTCAAATAAGGAAATATATCAGTCTTAATGTATCAGGATTTGGAGTCATACTTAGAAAGTCTTTCCCTATACCCAGGTTCTAGAGAAGTTTATCCATGTTTCCTTTTAGCACTTTTATAGTTTTTCATATTAGAATTCTGATACACTTGGAAATTATCCTTGTGTATGCATCTCATTTTGTTTTTCCAAATGGTATACCTATTATAACCCTATTAATAAGACTATCTTTTCCCAAGTACTTGTAAAAATCTTAAATACCTTTATCATACACTAGATTTCTACATGTAATGGTATCTATTTCTGGAGTTTAAATTCTATTCTGTTGGGTGGACTGAGGACCACAGTTATAAATACAGAGGCCTGTGCTACTTAGTATTTTAATATCTGGCAAAGCAAGTTCCTCTTCGCAACTCATCTTCATTATTTTTCTAAATACTCTTGTGTGTTTACTTTTTCCTGTGAATGCCAGGGTACATGCTGTAAAGTCCTGACTAAGGAAAGGAGATATTTAAGTTTTTGCATGTTTCAGGAATTAAGGTTTGTTCATACAAGTTTTTAATATTTCTTGAGTTTATTTCTAAATATTTTATCATGAATTATTCATGGTTTTTGTAAATAGGGTTTTCCCATACATTATTTCTTCCAATGAGCTGCTATTTGTGGATATAAAGGCTTATATAGATTAATTTTTTATATGTCACTCCTTTGCTGTTCTTTGATTATTTGGATTAGTTTTATCATTGATTGTCTTAGAATTGTCCAGGCATACCATCAGCAAATAGAAGAGTTTTACTTTTTTTCCCTTCTGCCTGTAATTGTTTTCTATAATCTAGTTGCATTGGCTGATCAATAGCTGTTTAGATCATGGGCATGGCTTTAAAAAATTCTAATTATTAATATATATTAATTGTACAAATTAATGGGTTTCACTATGACTGCCATATCGTATATATTGTGTTTTGATCATATCTACCCTCCCTACCATCCTCTTTTGTCCTCCTCTCCTTCCACCGCTTACCCACCAGACCCTTCCCATTCCCTAATAGTCCCTCTTCTACTTTCAGGTCATCTTTTGTTTTGCTTTTTTGTTTACTGTTTCCACAAATTAGCTTATTTTGCTTCTCATGATGACCTCCAGTTCCATTTATTTTCAAGTAAGGAAATGTATCAGTCTTAATGCAAATAACATGATTCATACTTTATGGCTGAAATAATAACTCCATTGTGTGTATATACCGTATTTTCTTTATACATTTATCTGCTGATGAGCATCTAGACTGATTCTATAACTTGGCTGTTGTGAATAGTGCTGCTATAAACGGGTGTGCAGGTTATCTCTATTGTAGGGAACATAGCTTTTCTCCTGACACTTGTGGGAATGCCTCTATTGCTTCCTTATTAGACAAGATATGATATCTGATTTTTAAAATCTGTAATATTAAGGCAGTTTGATTTTAAGAATGGGAGGCGGATTGTCTTACCTTTTATTCTTCCCTGTAAGCTCTGGATGGAAGGTGGGAAGTGAAATGTCAGGTAGGGAAGGGGAGTTGGGATTTTCCTTGTTTTCTCCTTTCTACCAGTAGCTCTCTCTGCTTCCACCTCAAAACATAAATTGCTTTTCTGAGGACTCCTTTGCTCATTTTGGAGTGGTGGCACATAATGTCCTAATCTAAATTAGTGGAAGGACAGCTCTTTTTTGAGAGAGCTCTGAAGTCAACTCCTGGCTTCTCTCTTCCCTCACTTTTTTACTTGTTCCTGTCCCCCACATTCCTCCACCCATGGGGAGTGTGGAACTCCATGTCTCTGTGATGATGATTGTTTTTCTCTTTCCTCTCTTTAGGTGCATGGCTGTTTCCTAATCCCATATCCCAGAGGAAGCAAACCTAGACCTGTGATTGAGCAAGCCAGGCAACCCAAGGGCAGTCTCGAGCCCTCCCCTTGCCTGCCCTCCCCTGTGGGGGCCAGGATGCTGAAGAAGCAGTCTGCAGGGCTTGTGCTGTGGGGTGCTATCCTCTTTGTGGCCTGGAATGCTTTGTTGCTTCTCTTCTTCTGGACACGCCCAGCACCTGGCAGGCTACCCTCAGATAGTGCTCTTGATGATGATCCTGCCAGCCTCACCCGAGAGGTGATCCGCCTGGCCCAGGATGCTGAGGTAGAGTTGGAACGTCAGCGAGGGCTGTTGCAGCAGATCAGGGAGCACCATGCTCTGTGGAGCCAGCGGTGGAGGGTACCCACTGTGGCTCCTCCTGCCCAGCCCCGGGTGCCTGTGACCCCACCTTCAGCTGTGATCCCCATCCTTGTCATCGCCTGTGACCGCAGCACTGTCAGGCGCTGTTTGGACAAGCTGTTGCATTATCGGCCCTCAGCTGAGCACTTCCCCATCATTGTCAGCCAGGACTGTGGGCACGAGGAGACAGCCCAGGTCATTGCTTCCTATGGCAGTGCAGTCACGCACATTCGGCAGCCTGACCTGAGCAACATTGCTGTGCAGCCCGACCACCGCAAGTTCCAGGGCTATTACAAGATTGCCAGGCACTACCACTGGGCTCTGAGTCAGATCTTCCACAAATTCAAGTTCCCAGCAGCTGTGGTGGTGGAAGATGACCTGGAAGTGGCACCAGATTTCTTCGAGTACTTCCAGGCTACCTATCCACTACTGAGGGCTGATCCTTCCCTGTGGTGTGTCTCTGCTTGGAATGATAATGGCAAGGAACAGATGGTAGATTCCAGCAAACCTGAACTGCTGTACCGCACAGACTTTTTTCCTGGCCTGGGCTGGCTGCTGTTGGCTGAGCTGTGGGCTGAGCTGGAGCCTAAGTGGCCCAGGGCCTTCTGGGATGACTGGATGCGTCGGCCTGAACAGCGGAAAGGGCGAGCCTGTGTGCGCCCTGAAATTTCAAGAACGATGACTTTTGGCCGCAAGGGTGTGAGCCACGGGCAGTTCTTTGACCAGCATCTCAAGTTTATCAAGCTAAACCAGCAGTTTGTGCCCTTCACCCAACTGGACCTGTCATACCTGCAGCGGGAGGCATATGACCGGGATTTCCTCTCCCGAGTCTATAGTGCCCCCCAGCTACAGGTGGAGAAAGTGAGGACTAATGATCGGAAGGAGCTGGGGGAGGTGCGAGTGCAGTACACAAGCAGGGACAGCTTCAAGGCTTTTGCCAAGGCTCTGGGTGTCATGGATGACCTCAAGTCAGGTGTCCCCAGGGCTGGCTACCGGGGCATTGTCACCTTCCAGTTCCGGGGTCGTCGTGTCCACCTGGCACCCCCACAGACCTGGGATGGCTATGATCCTAGCTGGAATTAGCAGTACCTGCCTGTCCCTGCTGGGTCCCTTAATCGTTATATCATGAGCTGAGACAGGACTGCAGTCCCTGGCTGTATTATCCTGTCAGTGTTTCCCTCTTGGGTCCATTTTGTTTTTTTTTCTTTTTCCTTTCTTTTTTATTTTTGTGTGTGGCCTTCGAGTGCACAAGTGACAAGATGAGGGTTATTCTCCCGTTCTCAGGGGAGTCAGGTAAAGAGAATCATTCTGGGATATATTGGGAAAGAGAGGTATTAAGCAGGAAACCACTGTGTGGTAGGTAAAGACTAGGGCTTGTTGGGGCCAGGACTGTCTATGTCCTGAGTTTTTCTCTCTCTACAGAGAGGTTTGCAACTTTAGCTAACCTGGCCAGGCCTCTGCTTCCTGACCTGGATCCTCCACAGAGCATGAGCCCTCCTCCTGTACTAACTCCCTTTCCCACTTTCCCCCAGTGTGAGGCTGGGTTATGTGAGAAGGGAACATATTGTGGCCAAAATAAGACAAACCAAAGGGGTTTCACCAACAGGTCAGGGTGGAATTGTTAAGGTTGCTGGAGTTTACTGCCTCCTTTCCTCTGTCTTTATTGCTGACCTCTTCACAGCTCTTCTTTCTCTGTAGCATAGCATCTGTGGTTCTTAGATGAAAAGAAGAGGTAAAGAAAGGCAAGACCCTGAGTCATGCCCAGCTGTCAGGGAAAGGTTATGGGAGGAAAGCCCATGCTGGGGCAACCACCCCCTTCTTGCTTCACAGAGACACTATCCCTGACCAACCTCCTTTCTAAGAATCAGTCCCCTCTTTGTTGCTTTAGGAGGGTTCCATGCTGGCTTGGTGGTAGAGAGAATGAGGTCCTGAGTCCCTTTCCCCCCTGGAGTTTGATGCACAGGCTACTCCCTAAGGGCTGTGGCTTCTGCTTGCCTCAGGGTAAGGTAGAGTAGTTGAGACCAGGACAGCTCTGGCTCTGCAGTAGGCTCTGTCTAGCCTCCTGAAGCATTCCCATGTCCTCACATGCCAGGATGCAGATGGCAGGTTGGAGAGGAATTTGTGTGTTTTTGTTTCTTGCCTGACCTCTGTTTCATGGAAGAAAGTGGAATCTACAAAATTATTTTCAAAAATAAAGTAAAGGCTGAATTGTCTGAAAAAAAAAAATGTGTGTGTGTGAGGGTATGTATGTGTACGCATCCTGGGAAAGGAGGTGGCAGATAGGGGAACAAAGGGAAAGAGGGAGAATGAGGCTAAGGGAAAGCTGAACAGGTGAAACAGTACTTTGAAGGAAGGAAGGAAAGCAAGTGACTAGACAAGAAAAACTGGGGGAGGAAAAGCCAAGGCACAGCTGAGGAGGGGATAGGCTTGAAGGTAGCAAGGGCCGGCCTCAGGCTACACTCAGGCTACTGTTAATCTGTAGAGTTTAGCTGTGGGCCCTCAGGAGCATAGTAGGAGGGCAAACATCCAAGGCCTGCTCTGTGAGAGAACATGGGCATCTCAACCTTGCAAGGGCCTGCTTTGTGCTGCCTGCCCTCTGCTGACCCAGATGGCATTTGGTGGTTGCCCTTCACCAGCTGCCTCCAGGATGATGCATAGCAGATACGGGGCAATCTACGCAGTAGTTCTTAAAGACTCCTGATTATGACCCCAGCTGAGAATGCCTTTCCAACAACACAGCACATACACCCCTCACATGTTTCCTGAAATTTTATTTACCCATATTAGAGGCAACACATTCTGAGAACTTTTAGCCTCTGCTAATTCATTTTTCTTCTTTTAAATCACTACTTGGATCCACCAACTTGATTTCATTAGTGGGTTTGAAAATTCTGGAGCTAAGTGACTTTATTAACAAACTACTTTAGATGGTGGCTGAGGTCTCAGAGTAAGCTCTGTCCAGAAGGGAAGGGGTGGCTCAGTGGCCACTGGGAATTCAGCTCTGGCCTCTTTTCTAAGCTCAAGAATTCAGATTGAAACAAGTGATCAGGCCACCCATTATTTTACCTTTAAGATTGTAGACTTGTTTTCTCTCCCCGTTGTTCTTATTTTTTTTCTCTTACCTCATCTCTCCCCATTCATGAAACAGACCAGGCACAGGGCCTGTGCTGAGGTGTATGTGGGGTAGATTTATGTTGCCTCCTGTTTCAGTGTATGAACACAGCCTGTGGTAAGCACCAGGAGGCCAAAAACCAAATGTTAAGCTGGGCTCAGTGGTGCATTTCTGTAATTACAGCTACTCAGGAGGCACACCTGTTTGCTCTTAGATGGATTGTTAACCTTAATTTTTGTTAAAAAGAGAGATGGTCATTATCCATGATCATAGAAACAGGTCCAAAGAGGAGAGAGACATCATACTGACACATAGGAGCTGGGAGTAGTTTGTCTGCCCAGCCAGACTCTTATGTTCTTAGCACTTAATTTATGTAACAGTTGCTGGCCAAATGGTTTGTTGTGAGTACTCCATGAGTCATACTAACATATTTATCCTCAAAGCAACCCTGGGTGTGAGTATGGTACTTTTTCCATTTACTGGTGAGGAAACACGCACATTAAAGTTAAACTTGCTCAAGGCTGTATCCAGGATGTGAATGGAGTCCATACTATAAACCACTGTGATACTGGACTCTTCCAGCCTAGCCTTCATTGCCTTTCTCCAAGCCTCACTTGTATTATCAGACTCTAGATCAGCATGTGGTGATCCCGTGTCTGGGTAGCAGGTGAGCTAGGGGAGTGTCCAGGAGACAGAGAAAGAGGGGGACCAAAGAAGGGTAAGAGTCAAGGCCCATTAGGGCTAGAACACTTACAAGATAGAGCCTAGTTTCTCCTGAAATGAGTATCTCTTAGGGTCTCTTGGTAGTCTGTTTCTCTTTTGATGCGTGTCCCCAGAGTGGCTGCATTCACCTTGTAGAGGATCCTTGTCATCAACTGTGCATAGTTGATGCTTCCTGGGAATCACAGTGCTCTTGTACATACCAAGGCAAGTGGATATGCCAGATGGAACAGTACCATGTCATTAAATGCTGTAGAGTTCTGCCAACCACATCATTCCAAGAAGATCACCTTTTTCTTGATGCTTTCATTCATGGTCCCAAGGGCTTCCAGACAGTTATTTCTATCTTTCACACAGTTTTCCCTCTAAGTCTTGGCCTTTGCCCTCCTCTCTTACATAGGTCACTCTGGTGGGATCTCATTTGTGGAGTGAGTTACCCTCAGTGTAGACAAATATCTTTGGTGGAGGTTCTGGCCAGGTCTCTCCTGCGTCTTCAATGGATGTCTCCATCACAACCCTATCAGGGTTTCATTGCGTTGGGAACTGAGGCAAAACAAGGGCTCCTAAAGGCAGGCCAGGATGGTGAGAGGTAGAAGGCATTTAGAGCATTAGATAAAAATGCCTCTAAAGCATATAATAACTGTCTTTCCCCCTCATTTGTTCATTTTAGGAAATTAAAAACACACAATACCATCCATATTTCCATACTCCTTCATCAGTGTTAACATTTAGGTTGTATCCCACCAGACTTCTTTCTCACATGTATAAATAGAACGCTTGTTTATAATAAACTCATAAAGTTCTGTAAATATTTAGGTTATTTAAGTTTACATAACAAATATATGTAACAAAAGTTCATCCTCTTTTAAAAGTATTTTTAACAAACACTGGATTTCAGGTTTCCTGGTGGAATTCTCATAGAGGTAAGTGGTTTGCCTCTGAGGGCCCTTGAACCTCCATCTGTTCTCTGCCCAACACATGGGCCTAGCTGACTAAGTCACAGGGAGTTTATACTTGGGAGCAGAGTTTAGAGGCCCTTGTAGGTGAGGGACAAGACAGAGACCAGGCCTGGTAGCCGAGGTTACATGGTGTCATGGACTTGAGTGAAACCCTGCACTGGGCCCACTGCTGCCTTTCTGACTCCAGATCAGCCATTTGTCCTGCCAAAGCTTCTTCCTGTGAGGCCAGACAATAGTACTTCTTGAAGTGGCTGTGAAGATTAATATGCATGGAAGCAACACAAAGTGCTATGGAAATCTATGTCTTTGGTACTGTCCTTTTCCTGGTGTTCACCTTGGTTCCCTCATACTTATACTCCATTCCTCCCACCCCCATTTTCTAGAGGGAGCAGAGTGGCAATTCTAGGGGTTACATGGAAAGGGGGAAAGGGTGTACTAAAGCTGGCACACTTTCCCCCACTGCCTCCCTTGGCTTACTAGAAGTCTGGCGCTTTCTACACACCGTAAGACAGTGTGTCACAATTAGATTTAGCTGCATATTGCTGGAAACCCATATCTTAGTGCCTTATAGAAATGAAAGGTAGTTAGTATAGGACTGGTCTCCTGATGTCATAAGGGCCTCAGATGACTTACACACCTGTCTCATTCTCCTTGTCCTAAGGCTTCCATTCTGTCTCACTTCTTGGCTGCAGAAGCTCCAGCTATCACACTTACATTTTAGGCAGGAAGAAGGGCAAAAGGTAAATGTTGCCTGGAAGCCCACAGATGGTGTCTGAACACAGCTCCCTGGGGAGAAGTGGATCATACAGACTTATCTCTAGCCAAAGAGGACAGAAAAAGTAATTCATATACTGAATCAATTCTTATGCAGACTAAGATTCCTGAGTTGATCAGGTGGGTCTGCTAGATACTGGGTCTGTAAGACCAAACTTGTGACAGCAGTAGCGGGGATCTGGAGAGTGTAAGATGATGGGGAGGTTTAAAAGAGTGCATTAGGAACCTGACCTAAAGAAGGGTAAAATTAAGCCTCCTTGGTTCCCTAGCCCTAGTGGGTTGTGTGAGAAACATGTCCAATAGTGCTCAAGATCACATGACAACCAGCATTCTTAAAGGACACACATAAGCCCAGAAATGCTGATTGACAAGAGCAGTTGACCAGGGTACCAGGCTTCAGTTTTTTATTCTACCTTCCTGAACACATGGCTCCCAGCTCACTGACCAAGACAGTGCCCTGGTCTAGCCATCAGAAAGAAGTAAAGGGGAAGAGAGGGCAAACCTCAGTCTTTACAGACTAAAGCCAATGTATGTATCTCCTTCCCCCCAGATTGCATTCACCAGAACTCAGTGTAGTTCCAAAGTTGCAGGGAAAGTGGGAAATAGAGTCTCAGCTTGGCCTCCATGGGTTTAGCTGAAACTGTCTACCACATATGTAATAAGAGGAGAATGATTACTGAAAGGCAGCATTCTCTGAGTATGGGTAATATGGTACCATCTATCAAAATCTTTTTTGGGCCAGGTGTGGTGGTGCACACTCATAATCCCAGCATTCAGGAGGCTGAGACAGGAGGATTGCAAGTTCAAGGTTAGCCTGGGCAACTTAGAACCCTGTCTCAAAACAAGGGCTAGGGTATTGCTCATTGTTGGAGCACTTGTCTAACATGAATGAGCCTGGGTTTAATCCTTACTATTGAGGGGTGAATAAAACCTAGGGTGGCAGCACCTCACACCTGTTCCTAAAAGTGGCTTGTGTCTTCATTGGTGAAGTTTATGGTCCCACCCTCACCCTGTCACCTGTGTCAGGCACCCAGGACTTGGCTTGTGACCAGCTAGCTGCTGCCCAGGGTAACAGAATCAAGGCAGAGCTGAAACAGGGCCTGTCCCAGCAGCCATAGGCAAAACCACCATCCTTTGTCCTCAATTTCCATGTTCTTCCTGGACTTCAATTTTGCTACATTGTAACAAAGCCATATGGGACCATTCACTGCCATGCCAATGGGTATGCCATGTTCTGTGAATCTCAAGCAAGAGGTGCCACCTGCCCCTGAATACTTCTGCCACAGACCTGTCAGGAATGCTCATGGCCCAGCTGCAGCCAAACATAAGCTGACAATAATTTTGTGAAGGGGCTGCCTTGCTGGTCTTCCACTGCTGTCCAAGGCCATGTCTGTCAGTGTGGTTGTGAAACTGTAGGACCTTTTTTAAGAAGTCGTGAATTAATAATTTTTAAAAAAATGCTCTCCTTGGAAGTAACGCTTGTTTACAAAATTTCTATTTAGGAGAAAGGAAAAATACCTCAAAATCAGGGGTGAATGATGGTGAGACTGCACTGAGACCCTCCATACATGAGTGTCCCCAAGGAAGCTTCCATACCTCCTTCTCTGAGGAAGGCAACAAAAGCACCCCACTGTGGAAATACCTGCCTCAATCCTGCATGAGTCCAGCAGCAGAAGTAAGGCTGTGAGTACTAGAGAGTTAGGTCATTAGAGGTCAGCTACTCAGCCTCTAGCACTATAACAAAATACTGGACACACACTGGTTCATGATTCTGTAGGTTCAAGTCTAAGATTGGGTTGCTCCATTACTTTGGACCTCTAGAGAAGGTAGCAATTCAGGCAGGAGAGTATGTCACAGTAAGCATTCATGTCTTAAAGCCCAGAAGCAGACAGAGAATGGGCCAGGGTCCTGTAATCCTCTCTGGGGAGCACACTCCTAGAGACTTAAATCCTCCCACAAGGCTTCCACCTCCCACAGGCTCCATCACTTTCCTATAGTGCCACCTCAGGGACTAAAAACTTAAAATAAGCCTTTGGAGGGCATTCAACACCCAACTATAGAAACAGAATGTGACTTATGCCTACTTTGCTGGGATACTCAGCTTGAAGCTGAGTGCTGAAAGAAGCTGCCATGTGACACATCTGACTACCCAGAGACCAACTCACTGAGAGGCTGACTGGAATGGCTGAGCGTACCAGTCAGGTGTTTGATATT